AAACAGCCATCAGCCCCTCACCCAGGCTGGCCAGGCACCCCAGCGGGACCCCCACCCTGATCCGGGACACCCTTCAGGGCAAACCAGCCGGCCCCCACCCATGCACCAGGCCTCTATCCCATATAATAAAAGGGTAATATGCAAATTGACCCTAACAGCAGAACGACTGGGAATGACTGGTCACTATGACACACACTGACCACCAGGGGGCAGACGCTCAATGCAGGAGCTGCCCCCTGGTGGTCAGTGCACTCCCACAGCCAACCTCCTGCCGTTGGCTAACCTCCCGCGGTCCCTCCCCCCGACTGGCCAGCCCCGATCAGCCCCGATCGCCAGCCAGGCCAAGGACCCCATCCGTGCACGAATCCGTGCACTGGGCCTCTAGTTATAGAGAAGAGCTGTGAACGTACCAGATGGTGAATGACAGTGAACACACACCTCGTGTAGTTCAAGAAGGGTTTTCAGAAACAGATATGCTGGTTTGGGAAGTAAATTGCAACTCGTACGAAGTGTGTTGAGGTTTCGAGGTGTGAGCGCTGTTGTGTGTGTTTCCAGAATATTCTGTGAGGACAAGCAGACCTTCTTGCAGGACTACGATGACGACGGGGAGACGGCGGCCGGCGGGCGCCTGCTGCACCTCATGGAGGTGGGTCCGCAGTCCTGACCGTCCCGGGCTGAGCTCCCCAGCAGCACGGGGCTCCCTCCCGCCAGGGACCAGCCCTCGGTCGCTCTGTAGCGGACGTGTGGGTTCATCAGGAGTTAGTTTCTGAACAGCGATGAGAAGGTGCCACCCCTGGGGGAGGGCAGAAGGCACAGGGTTAGTACAGGTCCCCCCCCCGTCTGTGGTCATCGACGGCCCCGTTCTGAGAGGGGCTGTTCTCTCCCCAGGTGGTTGCGGCAGTATTTTCTGCTCTTGTGTGAGGTTTGCTCATGCCCTGGAGGGGACTCTGTGTGGTCAGGCCTGTGGGCCAGCGGGTCTCCCCTTAGGGCGCGTTGGGCACACGTCCGGCCGAGGAAGACGTGTGGGCAGCGCCAGCGAGGCCTCCGCAGCCTGTGCCCTTTGGCCGCCGTTTAGAAGCAGGTCTGTGTGGCCCAGGGTGAAGGCCCCAGACAGCTGTTCTGGTTGAAGCCGCGAGAACTGGGACCCGCCTGCTGGTCTCCCCTGCACGCCCGGGCCCAGCGTTTGCAAGTTGAAGGCCGCGGAGCAGGGGTTCCTTTTCCAAACCCCCTCCTGTCTGTCCCCTCCTGTCCCCTGGGCCATCTGTCTCACTCGCCCCCTCAGTGCGTCCGCCATGGGCGTCTGGGGCGCTTCTGTGCAGGGTCAGTGCCGTGGGGCTCACCCGCGCCCTCTCTTGTCCGATCTGCCGGACGCAGGTCCTGAACGTGCGGAACGTGCTGGTGGTGGTGTCGCGCTGGTACGGCGGCATCCTGCTGGGGCCCGACCGCTTCAAGCACATCAACAACTGCGCCCGGAGCATCCTGGTGGAGAGGAGCTACGCGGGCTCGCCGGTGAGCGCCCCCCCCCCTCCCCCGGGGCTGCCAACACCAGAGGACGTGCTCCGCGCGGTCAGGATCGGGTGGTGTCGGGAAACCTTGTCCCGGGAGCCTCAGACCGGCCCAGGCAGAACCCGGTGGCGGCCAGTGCAGACCCTGGGCGGGGACTTCCCTCCTGGACCCTCAGGCCAGATGCTCCTGGAGTTTACGGAGCCTCAGGCCAGTGGCTTTCATCCCCGAGGCCGGGGCTGAGCCGTGCGTGACCTGGGTCCTCAAATGGCCACAGAATCCACGTTTCCTGTCACGGCCGCGGCTGCTCTCCAGGCAGGCCTTTCCTGCCTCCTCCCTTTACGTTTGGAGGCTTTTGTTTCATATTTTGTAACTACGTTCACTTGTATTGTTTTTTAACTCGGCTGCTTTACTTTAAAAAGCGGACACTAGAGCCCGGCCGCTGGCTCCGTGGTTGAGCGTCCACCCAGCACCAGGAGGTCCCGGTTCGATTCCCGGTCGGGGCACAGGCCTGGGTTGCGGCTCCAACCCCAGCAGGGGGCGTGCAGGAGGCGGCCGATCGATGTTTCTGTCCCCCTCTCTTCCTCTCTCTCTAAAATCAATAAAAACATTTTTTTTAAAGTGGACAATAGAATAATATTGAAATTATTTAAACATAAATCTATTAGTTAAATGAGTGTTTTCCTTGATTATTGTCGACTGTTTTGTAAACGTGTACATAGACGGACGGTAAACAGAAGTGCTGTATAAAACAGAAGATGGTACAGAGGGAAGTAGCTGTACCTCCACTATTGTACAGACTCTAGGGATTAGGTTTAAGGCTCCTAAGCCAGCAGGTTCGTGTACATGGTGGGGGCGGGGAGACTACATTGATTTTCTCTCTTTTCCAGGAGGAATCGTCCAAGGCTTTGGGAAAGAACAAAAAAGTGAGAAAGGACAAGAAGAGGAGTGAACATTAACAGCCGATACGACTTAGCGGTCAGCTTACCTGTGATCAGACGCAGGCTCCTCACTCATCAGACGTCTGTGCACGGGGCACCTGCGGCCCCGCAGCCATTCATCACGACACCAGCGTCATCCCCTCCCCTGGTCATGTCACCCGCCAGCACCAGAGGCCCTGTGAGCACCGTGCACGTGGCTCCAGCCGCTCGGACGACGCGCTGGAGCTTCAC